CCCAAGAAACACAATTTGATTAACCATGTTGTGTTTGAGGTGTTTTCCCCAAAAATAGTAACATTTTTTAAAAAAAACACAAAAATAAAATGAAAACATGCGAGAAAAATGTGAAAAATGCTGTAAAAATGTGAACATATGTTTAAACATGTGGAAAATTGATCAAAACATGTGAAAAATGCAAGAAATAGAAAAACATAAAATTTCATGCGACCCTGCTCTGATCTAATCCTACTCTGATCTAGGTAGTTAAATTTTTTCTGGTGATACAAGTCATCTTGAACCTGATGAACGACCTTCGTATGCGAATTGACTTCTCTAAATCCTGGTGCTGTGGTACCACCAAAGCCTTTCGAAAATTCTGGACCGCAACTTCCCACTGGCTTTTGACACCCGGATTCAAGTTCTCTGTTAAAAACCAGGTACATGACCTTGGATGTACCATCTCGTTCACAGATAGAGTCGTGCTTGGGCCTTTGCGGGACAAGATTGACAACGCAGTCGCTAAATGCAATCGTCTGAGACGCCTTAACCTTGCAGTAGATGACCGAGCAGAGATGGACCATAGGTGACCGCCATTTTGCTACCCTACGACGGGCTGCTACAAATGTCCTGGTCGGTGACCATAAGCATGCATCAAGCCATGTAGCCTTACATTTTTTAACCGACAGGGTCCAAGACCCATTACTATATATTATCACCAATATGCTCACCACATTACGCCGCCTGTTTGCCTACTACCCGAGACTTGCAGCACAGATTGTGACCACGGTTCGCATGTTCTCTGGTAAAGTTCGCGGTCCTGCTAGCGCGCTAGCCGCTTCCCTGGCCAAGGTAGGTTGGGAGCTGACAGCTAACGCCGCAATTTTAGGTCCAGGTGGCCTCCGGCTAAATATTCCTAGCGCGTCAACCAAACAAATTCGGACACAGCTGCGGACTGCTGGGGACTGGCGCAAGGGAGTACCAGATCAACCATTTAGCTCCATCACAACAATACGCCTCTTGCGTCAACTAACTGATCCCAGAGAGGTGCCATAAAGAATGTGGTTGGCCCTGTGGTGGATTGCTTGAAGAACCCTGACGTCCCAGAAAAAACAACAGGGTTCCGGTTTCACAGCTTGCTCTGCATGCGCGCAGCCAGTCTCAGCTGGATGCAGCTGGAACTTTTGCCCCAAGTGCGGGCACAAGCTGGTGTGAGACCTTTGCCTTCGAAGAAAATCGCCTGCTGTCAGGGAACACCTTCGAGTAACGAGTAGAGTTTAAAAGTTTGCAACATCACTCCATGTGACCATGTGAGTTTCATGGGCGATTGCTGGAAACCAACGTTGTCTCCCACGGAAACCCATGCACTCACAGGCTTCCACCTCAGATCAGCATCATGTGTGGGTTGGAACACCACTTAAAGTGCAGCTAGATGTTTGCATTGAGTCTGCACAGGCCGCCTGTTTTGAGTCTAGGGCCCAGCTAGGGGAGGCTTGAAGTGAAGCTATGCCTGTGTTAAGTCCAAGGCCTAGGGAGGCTTGAAGCGAAGCGATGCCTGTGTTGAGTCCAAGGCCTAGGGAGGCTTGAAGTGAAGCTATACCTGTGTTCACTCTAGGGCCTACAAAGGCTTGAGTGTGTTGAGTCTAGGGGAGGCTTGGGTGCACAAGTCATCAGATGTTCTGGGTCAAGACCAAAAAGAAACAAGGACTCTTAAAAGCTTTCAAAAGCCCAGTGTATTCAAACTTGCAAATACAAGTGTTGAAATAACAACTGAAAGTTGAGCGGTTCTCGTCCAACGCTGCGATGCAGCTTCTTTGTTTCTATCCCTGCTTTTCTTTGTTATGTTTATTGGGACCTTTGGTCATAACAATGTTTTCTTGCGCTATGGCCAAAGCTGAGGCTGAGGCCACAAGTTGGAGCCTAACATGTTGGTGGAAGTGAGTTGCGAAGACCCACAAAACTTCCCAGTAGATAGTTAGATAGATAGGTAGATAGATAGGTACATAGACAGATAGATAGTTAGATAGATAGACAGATAGATAGATCGATGGATGGATGGATAGATAGAAAGACATATAGGCATCACCTCCAATAGAAACCAAGATGTACACAGATATGTATAGGCAAGACCTGGGTCCACAAGACCACACAAGTAGCATGAACAATGAATGTGCAACACACATCGGCAACTGCGATTGGTGGTTTCGTGTCTATTGACAAGCACATCGAAGCGTTTCCCATGTTTCCCCCAAATGCTGTGCGAGCGTGTGTCTTGTTACGTGGTTTGCCTCTGTTTGCGTCTAAAACTGTCGTTTTGCATCAGAAGTGAGGGCTGTAGGTAGTTGACCCTGAAACCTGCCTCTCTAGCTCAGGCTGCACACACGCCTCCACACAAACTGGAAACAAACGATGTGAAAAGCGATGCGACAAAATGATGTTGAACAAGCTGATGTTAAACAGCTGAACCCGAGTCGACTGACCAAACAGAAGACTGCGCAACCACACTGGAAATTTGAAACATTTTCCACTCAGCTATCTCGATATGGCAGGTATTTGGGCGCATGCATTGAAGTGGAGCATGCACTTGAAACTGACGGTCACGCCACTCGAGTCTGCTCTTCTTGCCCTTTCGAAGTTCCAAAGAAGGCGCGCCACCCAAGATTCTAACCCACAAGAATCATTGACGCACACAACTCTCCACTGGTTGAAATCACAGCAAGATTCCCATGGAAGGATCAAGCGCCAAATCCTTCACCAAGGCCACCACCGGGCGCGCAGGCGTGAGACCCTGTGGACCCCAACGGATGCGCAAATCTCCTTGTTCCATGAAGAAAGGGGAACAAACTTGGCGGCGGTAGTCTGTTGCGATTGCACTCCGGACTGCTGATCATCTTCTTCACCCTCACCTTCAGTTACCTTGACTTTGCCTGCAGGAACAAAAGCGACATGATTGTTCACGGTGATCTCCATGGCTGATGGGTCTGAGGAATTGCCAGCCTCTGCAACAGTGTGATAGGCCACACCAGCGGTTGGCTCCTTCTTCCGCTTCTGCATCAGCACCTCCTTCACTGTCCTCAGTGAAGAATTGTTGAGCAAGACCAAGGTGTCAGCCTTGAGATGGTAGAGAAGCTCCTTCTCTGCAGCTGCCTCACTTGGGTTGGTGCAGGATTTGTACTGGCCTTTGCCAAAGCCAGCTACAATGAATCCAGCGCTCAGCTTGCAGCAGGAAGTTCCTGTGTTCAACATGTACACATTGTTCCCGGCCTTGACATGGATCTTCATGCCTTTGTTCTTCTGGTTGATCATGTCAGCCTCCAGCAACTGGTGCTCTGCCCCAATGTCTGCCACTGGGATCTGTTTCTGGTTGGACACCATCGTTCGAAGCTTCTTGATGGCGTTGTCGGCGTTCTTGATGGTGTCTGTCTCATCCATCTTCCTCTTCTTCTTCCCCTCGACCTCAGGCTCACGCATCGGGCCAAACTCCTTGGTCACAGCATCCAGCATAGTTTGACCTCCGGTTGGCAGTATTTGGGATGCATTGCAAATGGGTCCGCCACCCAGGACCCAGCATGCCCGTGGTGTGGTCAGCATGATACACACACACATCATCTACTCGAATGCCAGTTCTTTTTGCCCGTCCGAAAGAAGCATAAAAACGCTGTACAACACCTGAAAGACCATCGTCACTTGTGCTGGTTTCCTTTGCCTGGCCACCATCCTGACCTTGCATTAGTAAGACAAGCAATGCATTTGCGGTCCACGACTTGTGTCACCAATCAAATTCCAACGCTCTCTTCCAACGCCACCGTCTATACAGATGGCACTTGTGATAACACTCGCGACCCCTATACCGCAAGGGAAGGATGGGCAGCCGTGCTCCGTACAGCCCATTTGGCAGACCCTATTCAGTACACTTTTCAGGTTACTGCAGCAGGTCATTGTCCTGGCCACCAGACGATAAACAGATCCGAACTATATGCCCTCCTCGTAGCAGTCGAACAGATCATGTGCACATCTGCCACAGTCCGAGTCCGAGTTACTTTTGTGACTGACTCACAATTTGTTGTGTCACAAGTCATGCATATAGTACATGGTACATGTTCTCAGGCCCCACATAAAAGCTCGCATTGGGATCTGGTCAAACGCCTGGCGGTCCTTTGGGACCCAACAAGATTTCAGATTCAGATCGTTAAGATTGCCTCACATAGGGATATTCAATCCGCCCGTAATTCATCCGAGGCTTGGCATATTAAAGGAAATGATATGGCCGACCGAACCGCTGCTGCGATTCGTGCAAAACCGATGATCAAGAATTTGATGCTTTATGTTCTGCTGTCCAGGGACATTGGCATCATTCCCAGCAGATCTTCTCGCAGATATTGCGTACACTCGAATGGCAACAACTCCCAAGTCAGATAGCACCATACCAGATAGAGGACAGGAGAACCCCCAGCCGACAGATCCTCAATCTTCGCAACTTAGCAGGCTTAGTCAATGGCGTGCGCTAGGAGAACCGTTTGTTTTGCCAGCTGAGCCACATCGAGTTGTTTTTGGGTGTAGTACTTGGGGAGCAAACCTCACGTACATGATTTGGAGACATTGCACAAGTCTTGTTTGGCCAGAGCCCAGCGCACCTGTCACACCGGGTGACCCTGGCATATCCTGGACCGAATTGGCTATCTCATTCATGCATTGGTCTAACCAGTTTCTGCCAATACGCCTTAAAAGTGGTAAAGGATATCTTACGTTGCAGTATAACGACCCTCAGGCCCAATTGCTGCCGGTAAAATCCAAATCTTTACGAGTTCTTGCGGAAAATTTTCGTTGGATAGTCAAACATATTCAAACATTTTCTCGCCAGAAACTTATCCCGGTTTATAAAAAGCAGGGCACCACAAGTCTTACCCGACTGGAGTTCACGTCTTACCATGAAGGCGGGGTGTCTCGCCGTCCCACTTTGCCCAACCCAGATGTGACTTACAAGTACATTAATTAAGCAAATGCTCAATGCGATGCCGCGCGACCCACCCCTATCATACAGACATTCAACCCCCTGCCCTTTTACCGGCCGATTCCTTATGTGAGTGGCCAAATTTGCCAGAAGTTTCCAAAGCTAAACAGGATGCTTTTATCCAACATGTCCGCTATGCACTCTTTCGAGGTAAGCCATTTGATAGCGACAGCGCGGCTGGTGGTTTGACCGTCATTTCGCCAGGTTCTAGAGGCGACTGCAGTCGATTTCCAGGATATATGAGAGCACCAACCTATCCGACCTATCCCATCTTGTTTCTCTCCCCCACCGCCCATGGTGTTGCTGTCGGTTTGTGCAACCGCCTTGCCCAAGCAGGCTGGAAAGGGGCGCACAGGGCTGGTCTGCAGCTGCCTGCTGCTGCGGGAAGGCGGCGCTGGGATTCGCCGGGTGACATGCGGGATCAGAGGATTTTTTTGATTGGTCCGAACTGGGTCAGATTGTGCTTTATGTTTTTTTCCCAAGTTCCTGGGAGCCGCAAATCCAAGTTCAAAGGTTGTAGATTTTGTAGATACCCCTATAGTTGTGTTCTTTACGAATTGGTATTTGGTCATGTAGAATCTCGATCAAAATGGGAAAAACCTCACATGAAATTTCACATTTCCATGTGTTTGGAGAGGGGGGTTGTTGTGGGGGTTGTGTATAATCTAAGAATTCTACATGGAACTCTATAGCGCTGGAAGTGTGACGTGGGTTTTGTCAGGTTTGGTTTGATTCTACGCCACATCGGGACATCCCGGCCCTGCGATTTCTTCCCAACGGGATTGGACCGCTTTGTCGGCGGCCTACATGGACCCTGGACATCCCAGTTTCATGGAGTGTGTGGGTTTCTATTAAATATCGTATTTTGGTACCTGGACCATCCAATCAATGGGTGTACTGGCTGGAGATTCCGGATAGGTGTAGTCCAGACGCCTAGACAGGATGCTCCTGGCATATTCGGTTCCTCTTCTTTTTCCCAACCGGCCGGGCACTGATTCACCCCCTGGCACTCGCCAGGCTTGCAGACGAGTGCCACCGAGGCTTGTTTGTGAGTTTGCAGGTGAACACCGGGCACGTTTCTTCATGGATTCGCTCCAAACGGGCGCTGTAGACAAGCTGGATGATGTTTCCCCGTGGATCCCAAAAATTCCACATCAACCAGGGGCGGTCTCCATCGGTCTATAGTTGGAGTCGTTTGGAACCACCGGTGACCTGGAGTCGTTTGGATGCCCTGGGTTTAGGTTGCTTTGCCCAGGAATATGTTTGCTTGCAGATCATTTGGGACTGAGAATTCTTCAAGAGTTCAGTTCCAGCAGTTTTGTCCGAGAATATTTGGGGGGGTGACCAACACCTTGAATTAATAAAACAGTTTGACCGAAACACTGCGTCGTATTGCCAAGTCAAGTAGTCAGACGGGAGACGTGTGGAGTTCGGTTCGCCAGCGAATCCAAGGCCAAAGACCCTCCAAGACATGTGTGGATTGTGGAAGTACGATCCTGGAGATGTGACGGGGTGACACTCTTCTATATCTCCTTTAGGACAGGTTTGTGTGACACCCTTCTGGGACACTCTTGTAAAGCACTCTTTTTTGAAAGAGCTTACTCTCCCGGGCATGGCGCCCTTAAGGTTTTTCCTCGTGGCACCTTAGGTGGAGCCCAATTCTTTTCTGACCTTCCTGTACCTCTCACGTGAAAACCTGGGGAGGTCCAGACAGCCATAGACAGCCTTAATGACAGGCTGAGACCAGAAGCAAAGCCGCAAAACCCATTGGTTTTAGGTTTGGGGGTTCCATATGGTTCCATGTTAATAAATGGTAATCTGCAGGGGAGTCGCAGGGGAGTATATGAAACTGACCCATCACAGTTAACAACCTGCTTGCTGATTGCTTGGACACCGAACTCGTGAATGCCCCACATCTCCCACCATCTCCCACCCGACCAGCTGACTTTTCTCACCCACTTGAGGGCCCCTTCGTCCGAGTTCCCCCCGCTGTGACGGTGCCTTTCGAGGCCTTGGAGACCTATGCAGAGCGCCGGACGCACGACCGCAAAGGGATCACCATCCCCAGCCAGATCCGGCACCTCGGCAGTCCGGGGAACCCGGCGCGGGCAACACGCCCGGGTGAACGCCGCGGAAGACGGAGCGTCGACTGGGGCGGAAGGAAAACGCTGGGGTGATGGAGTTGGATGTCTGAAAAATGTAGGGAGTTCGGGAACCATTTGGGTAAGGCGAAGTCTGTGGACGCAAAGAAAACGGCGTTTTCGAAGGGATATGGAATGATGTTCCACAGTGGATTTTGCCAGGTTCTTAGTCTCTACCTAACTTACTGAGACTCACTGAGGAGCATCACAATATCGGCAACTGGAAGATCAACACATCCTTCATTGCAAGTCATTTTTACCCCAGTCGCTCGAAATCAACGGTGTGGCAGAGTTTCTGTCACGCACACGCTGTGGCAGTTCACACCGAGGTACGTGAAGCTCTATGCGCAGATCTTGCGCGAAGGCTTCATCCGAACTCAGTCGGTTCGCCTCAAGAGCGCTCCTTGGGTGAAGCAAAACGAGGGTGAATAAACCATACCGCGCGAGACGGGAGCGAAGACCCACGTGACGTATTGTGTGGTCGAAGATGGGCGTCGGATGGGTGTGGCAATATAATAGACCATAATAAAACATGTAATGGAACGACATGTAAGCGATGCACAATCAGTGCCTTTTTTGGATTTTTTTGGGTCAATGGTAGGTGCCTATCATTCTTCAATAGGCACAAAGACTGTTCTAATTGGCTCACTACCCGTACCCAATTGGTCAGTTGTGGCTCACAACTACCTTGTATTGAGGTACCTGAAAGTCCATGCCAATTCTGATGCTCAATTACTTGTTTAGTTGCGAACACGAACACCTTCCCGCAACAGCCATAGAGTCGTCCAGATCATTGGCCAGGAAACTTTTTCATAATCAAAACTACACTTTTTCTCCAATGCCGCGTAGCCTCCAAGCTAAGAGCGATGGCCTCCAAGCTACTAGCGATGGCCTCGGCCTAGTCACACGTCTTTGGAGTATTAATTACTGTAGCTCTCAGCTTCTTTTCCAGACTAAAGGCAGACTGATGGAGGGTCGTCCTCGAAGACTCTATTTAGCTATTCAGTCCCTTGTAGCACCTGTTCTGGACACACCTAAGGTTGTGTTATGTTTTGTATTTTGTTGACTTGAGTAAGCATTATGTTTTATCAAGTGACTTGTTTCTTAAGGTGTTTGAGCGTTCTTTGAGATCCAGGGCTCAAAGTTTGGAAACACTCTGACAACCCATAGATTCTGACACCGTTTGTTTTTAGTCAGTCCAAGGTTTGCGAAGGTCAGCGATTGGCTCTTTCTTGAGTTTGTCAAGGATTTTAGAAGGTCAGCCGGATTGGTGTTTTTCACATGGGTATTCATAAACATCATAAACCTGTTCTGTTCAAAACTTCACCTGGATCTTTGCTGCACGAGTTCTGATGTCAAAGATGTTTGATCCCTTCGATCTTGCACGGAGAATTCATGATGTATACTATGCTACCCTTCCCCTATGGGCCCACATGCTTCAAGACAATCACCGACATTTAGATACATTAAGCATACATCACAGCAGAAAGCCGTGTATTTTTGTCCAAAAGGGTAATAGATGTGGATCAAGTATGGGGACAAACCTTTCTATACTTGAAGTGTCAAACGCTTACCTTCTTCGATGTAGGTCGTCGTGCGACCCACATGTCCAACTTGAATTCTTTGAGGTGTGATGGAGAACGGAGAACAGGAATAGGAATAGTTCGAAGGATAATCACCATAATACAAAAGAACATGTGACACCCCTTTGCATTCCGTATGTTCTTTGATCTGGTGATGCTTCAGGGTTCGGGTAGATCCCTCATCAGGAAAGCGAGTTGCTTGGTTCTGGCGCTCGTCGTTGGTGTGGACCGTTCTCAAGTTTCCTTGCACTCACACGCGCACGTGAGAGACAGGTTTTGCTTCAGAACTTCCTGCAACTGCCTGGATATCGGTCCTCCTCTTTTCAAGTGCCTTTGCCTGCCAAGAGGGAACAATTGGGACATGGCGAGATAACGCAGGGACATATTGTCAAGAGTCAAGTTCATCTATTTCCGTGGAAATGTCAATTCAAGTCGTGGTTTTAGGTTTTTTTTGATGTGCTTTGGCACATCCATTGCACATAAGAGATTGTGATTGCTCAGGGTTTGAACACTTGTTTCATGAAGAGTGGTCAGGGAGAAACTGGCTGTGCGCAGCGTTTTCTTCATGAGGTTTGTTGTGACACACTCTCTAGGTAGTTTTTGCAATTGGAATTTATATATAGATGTTTGTCTCTATATAAAGAGAAATCCCCCAACAGGTCTGGGCCATTCTTTTTTCTGACAGGGAACTTTGTGTTTGGAAGGTGCTTGATATGACAGTACTCAAATCCCAGATTTCTTCCTAACAGTTTGTTCTATTTGGGGGTATTGTCCTAGATTGAAGTGCTATGCCGGTTTGGTGCTTGGATTGGACACTGCGGATGCCAGCGGCACACGCCACGCCTTGAAAACTCGAGACCTCGACCGCAGCAAGTGACAAAGTGATCCCCCTCGGTCCCTGGCGCCACTCCTCGGCGGGTTCGGAACGAGGTGACTTGGGATTCGATGGTGGTCCGCACAACGATGAGTAGCGTCGGAAACAGGCGAAACGGGCTCCTGTCCCACATCCAAAGGTGGTGAGAGCCCCCCCATCCCCAAGGCATCGCTTCCCGAGTTGAGCCCTTTTGAGGGGACCGATCGGGATCTGCCACCTGCCACCTGGGTGTGGCACCCGGTGGAGGCATCCGTTCAGGTGGAGGTCCGGGATCACGAGAAACACGTCCTCTTCAGCTCCGGCTTCGGCTGCGCGGCCTTCGCGCGCCAGGTGCGGGGCCGGGATGGTCTGGGGAGTGTTCGATTCCGGTGATGGCTGGGTGAGCCATGGGGAGCCATGGCGGGAGGAAGTGTGATTCCCGGACACCGGACAGGGGCTATTCATGGACACCCTTTCCGTGGTGTTGGTATGATTTGGAAGATTTAATACCTATTGCCGATACATTCATCCCTCAAGAACCATCCCAACATTGGTAAATATATGCCATACCAGGAGTGTTTTGGATGGCTATTTTTTGGGGGGCGGGGCCGTGCTAACTGGTGTAACCTTTCTTTGAGTGCGGGCCTTTGCGAACGCCGGCCATATCAAAATCCGCACATATTCCGAAAGTTGAAATCCGTAGGATTCCGTAGATCCAACATGAATGAGATTCCCCTTCAAATCCAACATCAGATCCGTATTAGTATGATTCCCCCCAACATTCCAACTTCGCCATCGTCTCACCAAAGCCTTTTTCATCCTTGTTCACTTGTGATTGAATATTGATCACACGACTATATCACACAAATCCGTCTTTTGACCTTCCAACTTGGTCTTAGCCCGTCAAAATAAACTCGGTGCGACTCGCTGTTTCACCAACCCTGCGCGGTCTTCTCGAAGACTTAAAAAAATTAGTAATAAGTATAAGTGATTATAAGTGCCTGTTGATGAATCACACCCTCCCCCCTCAAGAATTACAATGGAAAATGTATGAGACATTTCAAGCTGGTGCGAATGAAATCGAGGTCTAGAAGCTGGTGCGTGTGTTTCTCTTTTTTTGTCACCTGGTGGTTTACCATCAAACATCAGTGATGTTTGTCTCTCCCCGGATAAAACCAGACCCGGTCTTCCTCCCATCCTTTCTGAGGCGCGCGTCGACTCGGCGGAGTCCAATGGCTCCGAGACCTCCGATGGCGAGGCCGAGTCGTCGCAGGGCTCCGAGGCGGGCGGCGGAGGACTTCGACAGGTGAGGGCGTGAAGGTCTGTCCGAACTGACCTGCACCTGAACAAGGCCTGCAAGTTAGGCCTGCAACCTGCACCTGTCTGTCCTATAACAGTCAGTAAACAAGCAAATCATCATTTTGGAACAAGGCCCGCAACCTAACTTTTCTGACCATCCTCATCCACTGAGGCGCAGGTAATAGGATAGAGCCAATTAATATAGTCTAGATAACAAGCACGTGTTCTTTTTTTTTTCCAAAGGGGAACAGGTGGTGATGATGATGATGATGGTGATATTATGTTGAAGGTATGTGAAAAGGGAACCTGAAAGGACGTGACCAACCTTGATATCTCGGGTCGGGGTCAATTACTTGGACCTGTAAATGGTCACCGGTTGGGCCTCCAAAAAGGTTGCTTTGAAGAAGCTGACTTGAAATGCACCTTGGGTACACGGAAGAGAGAATTATCACCCCCCAAACAAAACAAACATATCAATGATAATATTGCAAGGTAATAGTCCTGAAGGGGGACGAGAAAGGTCATAGTTTTGTTTGGGCGAGACATGCACATCATGAGCCGTGAGCAGGTTTGCTTTGCACATCGAAAGATTTGCAGGACAGTTTTTTAAAATGCAGATTCCATTCATATAATTGTTCAACAATTCACGCGGGCCTGGTTCGGGTCCTGTGTAGGTTTGTGTACATTTTTTTTTAAGTATCACATTCTAGGATTCTGGTGCAAATCCCGAGGGTCCTTGCACGACCAAGGAATGTTGGTTTGAAAGAAGTCATCGAAAGTCCTGCAGGGGCTGGAAATGGAAATGCTCTACGGTCCGGTCCCTATCGTTCTGCTCTACGGTGTGTGATGTGCTTTCTATGTGGATTTGGCTGTCATGGCACCAGGGTCGACCGACCGGTTGACCTACCCGTCTCAGTCGTTTCTAAAGCCAGGCTGTTCTCAGCCAAAACCGACGGCGTCTCCGCATCAGGTGGGCTGTGCGAGCCCTCCACTCGATGCGGGGGCACGCCGATGCGTGGGGCAAGCAGATGCGGTGGCCACTCAGAGGAGCAATTACACTCCTTGAATTCAAGGAAGTGCGTGGCTCTCGGTCCTTTGAACGACCAGATTCCTTTGCAATGCAGGTGGTTCTGAGTGGACTGGGAGGAACCCCCCAAAGATCACTGGGAAGAGGATGACAAGAATGCATGGACCAACAAACACTGGAGCATTGGTGTCAACTAGTAGGCTCGCTTTATTAATCTAAACACTGAAGCATTGGTGTCAACTAGTAGGTTCGCTTTATTCATCTTTCGTCCAAACATGCCCAAATGGTCACACCAGCTAAGTGGAACTGTTTGTTCACTGGGGTGTGAGGCTGAAAGTGGAACTGAACTGGCAGTTCTGGGACAGCAAGGTAGGCAATCTAAGCTCGGTCACGTAGGCCCCAATCGTGATATCTTCAATATCACATGCAACAAGTGCTGGCTACGATCTCCAAGAGTTATCATTATATACTGGTTCCCAGAAGTTTGCAAAAAAAATTATGCGAAGGCATGTGTGTCACGAAGGCTTTGTGAAGGGAGCTGCGAAGGTTTGTGTCCAGTATTTGGATTCGATGGGCCTGGTAAAGCTGCTTAACAGAATAGATCAGGAGAGGCTTGCAGTCTTTGGAATCGCATCATGTATGCCTCTACCCTTGCTTGGAAATGCAACCTTGCACCATTGATACAAAGATACAATAAGTATCAATAAGTTACTTCCTGGTTGGAGCGGTAGTCAAAGCAGTCTTGTTTTGAGGATTTTGAGGTTGGTCCAAGGCGTTTAGCATGGGAGCACAACAGGCTTAACAGCTAGAACCAATGAGCCCCTTCTTGAGGTTTGGTATCAATTACAAGACTTAGGACGAGGTAGGACATATTTGGGGAATAATCGATCCATCCATCTCCAGCATCTTCATTGTTCTTCCTACTTTGTTTGAGATGTGTCGCGAGGTCTGGAATTGAAAGAACCTTGCTCTCTAAAGCCACCCCCAGCTCCGAATATAGGTAGTTGCACATACTCGACCAATGGGCCTTTTAGACCATGTGGAGCAGCTCAAAAACTGTGGTATATAACTGTATAAGTGACAAGAACATAGGCCCAAACGGTGTATACACACCCTTTCCCTCACGGATGGCCGGGGGATGCCCTTCACTTTGCTGTGAGGCCGTTCGATTTGAGGTCCTTGAATTGGAGATGCCGCTGCTTCCGGACGACTTTCAGGTGGTGCTCAGACACTTGGCACACCAAAAACCGGTTTCGATGGACGATGTGAGGGCCACGAAACATGAAGACACGCCGGTTTCGACAGCCTGCGGGAAGCCGATGTCCCGGAAGCCAGACATGGTGCTCAGACCTGTGGGGACTTCAGAGGGACTTTTGGTTCCTCCAGAATCCGGTGCCATGAATCGGATCATTCCAGAGCTTCTTCTCGGACAATTCGAATCCCAGAATCCAAAAACAGGTGTAGAGTCCAAGCAGCTCCATGACCCGACAGGACCCGGGCTTGGCGCCGCGCCCAGAGAATCCAGTTTAGACTGGGCAGTTGGGGCTGGTTTGAGGGGTCAATATATGTGACAAGTGATAGTATGTGTGAGAGGAAAACATCATTCGGAAGTTCGGAATGGCTGCAAAGCCTTGGGAGTGAACAAACATGAACAGCGTCCCCTTGGTGCCCGAAACGATGGGATGAGACATGGGATCGTCGAGGACCTAGGATTGGCTGCTTAAAACTTCTGGGTACCATCGAGACATATCCAGAACTCATTGCTTTTCTGGAAGAGACCATATTTAGTCATCCTGGAGTAGATAGAAGATGGATGAATATGCAAAAATCCATGAAATATGAGTTAATGTCACAAAAAAACTGGGAAACTGCTCCTGGATGGGTATACCTATTTATATATATATATATATCCAAAAACCATCAAAACGGACCGCAACCGCTTCCGGTCCCGCCGCGGGGCCCGCTTCAAACAAGCCGCCGCTTCTCAGGGCGTCGCTATGCGACCTGGTGCGGCCTGTCGCAGCAGGTCCGGGCAGGGCTCGTCCTCGGACGTTGTGAACAGCCGGGCTCGACGACTGGGCGGACCAGGACACTTGCCGTCCGTTGTCAGGTGAGGTTCAACATGGTTCAACCATGATGTTCAGCATGAAACAAGGTCCTTAATGTGATTCGGAGGGGATTTGGCAACGAAACACGACCACAGAGTTGCTTGAGCGTCATTTTCCAATTGTTTTTCCCAAACAGTTTACTCAGCCCGCTCTGGGCACATCACCACTGCTCGCGCAAACGCGACGAGATGGGCCATCAGAGGGGTGCTTCTTCCAACCATGTTCGTGACACAAAGGGAGTGCATGCCCTCTGATCACTTTGATTGCCCTTGACTGATTTGGACCAGGTCATGTCGTGGAAACATCTCGCCGATGCTTTGCTTGAGCCTGCAACTCCTCACTCAGCCCATGGGATGTGCGGCACGTTGACTGGAGTGCCCGACGTTGGGTTTCACACTGATGCCCGACTCGCCTTCGCCGAGCCGCGGGGAATCAAAGGGCGTTCTGTTGACTGCTTGTTGGGCACATGTTTGATATGTTTGGTGATTCTGATGACACTGCCAGGAATGGCCAGCTTCACTTCACTTTACTGGCATCATCATGTTCCTTGTGACTGGGATTGATCCTCTTTTGTCTCGTCACCAATCACCCGCGATACAGGATGACGGCACAACTATAGTTGATGATGATGATGATGATGATGATGACGGTGATATCATGCAGCAGACCTGCTTTCCAGGCAACCCTGAGTTTGCCACCGCACTCTGGTGCTTCGGAATGACAGGCACCCAGATTGCTTGCGGATGTCAGTAGTCATGCTTCCGTCCCAACAGCGGAAGGTGAGGTGTTCAGTGCTCAAACCAGCTGTGAGCCGCGTGCTCTGAGGTGGGGGGTTTTCCAGAACCAAAGTCCGCGGGTGACTTCATTGGTCTTCGTGTTCTAAAGGCTCTCGCGCGCGCGCTCTCTCTCTCTGTGTCTATGGCCTTCGCCAGATTCCTGCGTCATGCTCGGCGAGCCGCGAAGCGTCTCTATCATTCTCAAACTTCTCGCGGCACCGCATATCACCCAAAAGATGTTTGTTAATCTTTCAACCGTTTATATACTGTACACCCTAGAAGAGGTCCACATGGAACCTGAAAACCTGCACGGGATGAGATGAGGAACATTGTCTTCCAAACGTCCATACCAAGCCCGGTTCCATGTGGGCCCAGAAGCCACCGCCATTGGGGTGGCCATGCTGGCCGTGGCCGTGCTGGTCTGAGTATTCCATCGCCTTCAGGCCGTCTAAGACCGCCGAGTCCGGAGATGGCTGGCCCCATCAAAGTATCAACTGGGAGGTGGTGAAGAAAACGTGAACACCTTGAAACTTCTCGGAAACTCAAGGTCAGTATTAGGAATATGATTTTTCAACCAGCAACATCCAGCAAGCATCCAAAGCTTACGGGATCTTCGCATCTCCGTTCTTTAATGTTCTCTATAAATCTATATTGTTTCAGGTCTGGACCCCTGCCAGATTCCTTCAAGCGAGGTCCTGCACAGAATCGTTTGCCAAATAGTCCTAGTTGGTGCAAAAGAGTCGAGCCTATGGGCAGAAACACCCATGGCTGGGCTCGTGGCTGATGGATATTTTTGCTAGGTGGATGTGATGTGCTCCTTCTGGCTGAACAGCGGCTACGTCTCTGAAGAGATGCATCTTCCGCTGGCCGAGTTGGACTACTGCCGAAGCTTGCAGCACTTGCGGCTCCGCTGCGAATACGGTCATGTCGACACCAGAAAATGCTACTGTCGTTGGATGTCCTTGGATGGGCTTAAATTCCTAGCCGGAACCCCTGAACTCTTTGTTTAAAATGTACATCCGCCCCTTAAAGCACCCAATGTAAAGTAGACAAAGATCAAGCTATGATTTTTGCTGTTAGGGCAAAGTCTACTAGATTTCCTGTTCCTTGCAAATCTCCAATCGTGCAAGCTCTTTGCATGGCCCAGGTGTGTTCCTGTGTATCTTGGCTCAAACGGGCGTGCAAACCCAGCGAGGGTGGGCTTCAGGCCTGCTGCAGGTTGCTTCGCAATGCTTTGCACGTCATTGATGACCAAAACAAGAAATGTGTGTGTGTATTTCAAAAGAGAGACCCCCTGGCCCAATAGGTAGACCAGTCTGCTTTATTCCTTATTCTAGGGGTCGAACTGGGAGGTCTCCCTATTTTAATACACATCCAAATGAATGCGATGAAGGCTTTGAAGCGTTCAAAACTTTAGGATTCCAGATGCTTGGTCGTGGGTGATGTAGTCTATTTGTCTCCTACTTTGTCTCCTTTCACCCGGTGCTGTGTCACCATTCTCTTGATCATTCCATTTGGGGGTTCTTTTTGGTCATTACCTGAACACGGAATGGCAGGATACATAACTCGAGAATGACGCTTCGCTGAGAACCGTGTGCATACAACGCTGAACACCTCCTACCAGGACCCACGGTCCGTGTGGTTAATGGACACCAATCAACCTCCAAGGGGCTAGTAATAAACAAACATACACACCCCCGTGAAAGGCGCTGGTACTGGTTCAGTGCTGATGTTGTTGCTTTTCATTCTTTGATTTGAAGTTGGTCGAGCCAGACCCCTTTTTTGGACTTTTACAAACAACTGGTGTGATTCCTTTAAAGTTAGGTACATATAGCTAGGTATCAAGTATCCGAATAACTGAGACGCCGAATATTGGATCGACCCGACCCTTCTTTAAAAACGAACAAGTAGGTGGGGGAGGTGGCATTTTCCGCTTGCATTGAGTTATTCGATATTGCGCCCAGCGGATCACACGATTTCCAAATCTACCAGCTGGTTCCCCAAAGGCGCACGTCTCGGTTTTCGACAAGAGGTGCGATTTGCTGGACGCGCATTCGCTTGCTGGTGGAACATGTTGGCACACCATGCTCACCTCTTTCTGCTGATTTTTGTGGTACTGGCGCGCCTCTCTAAGGTATGTGGTTGGCAGTTGCCTTTTTTGGTTCATCTGGTCAATGATTCCAACCAAGCTTGGCTAGGGATTGTGCATCCTTCGAACCCTCCTCCGGCAGGTCGAATGTTCCATCACCCAGCATCCAACTTCGCTGTCGCCTTCTCTCGGCCGTGCTGGGCATCCGAACCCCGCTGGGGGCGGGCCGCGTGGTCCAGGGCAGGTGCGAACGAACCCCACGGCTCCCGAGGCCCGATGAGGCCAGCGTGGTGTGCAGCTTTGAGTGCCGGGCGCTCTCATAGCCAGACCGGAACGAGCACGCAGTGGTGGTGTGGATCAAGAATTGCCTGGTTCTAAAGAGAGAAATCGAACACAGAACGTGCAGACTCAAAAAGCCCAACGTCCGCGCTATAGGGGCCAACATGAACGGCGCAAGACGCGCCCCCCGCGGGCGGTGGACGCCTTGAAGGCTGTAGATGAGACCTTTGGAAGCACGCGGTCTTTCCTTGGATATTGGGGAGGTTCAAAGAGGATTAAGAAGATTTAAGAAGGATGTGTGCCCAAAACCATAGTTGCGACAAGGCGGCACAAGCTCTTTGCAACTGTTTGCCAACAACCTAGGATCTCCTAGATGTCCTTCGCAAGTCGTTTCTCTCAAAATTTGAAGTCAACACCAAACACCTCCAAAAACATGAGAGGCTCACATCCCATGCCGCCCATTCCCTTGATTATGTGTGAAAACAGGGTTCAACAAGGACAATTGCACGAATTGCACATTGAACTTTGTCCCATCCCGCGTCGCGTCGCTTGTTCTGGGAGCTCGTCACGTCGCCGCCGGAACCCGCCACGGGTTTGGGCCCTTGCTCCCGCGGGCCCTGCTCCGTTCGATGTTTTTTGTTGAGCGTTGATGGTCAGCGGTGGTAGTACTGTGATGTTTGCATTTACCTTTGTGTGATTTTGTGTGCTTGTATACTAAGGGAAAGATGAGAAAGGTATACAGACAACATTCGGAGTGAATTGTTGGGGTGCATCCTCGATGAACATGTCAATAGAGACATGCCTCCACAAAGCCCATGAAACACGTAAGCCAGAAAGGCTTCGACTGGATGGGGTTGCCAATGGACATGAACGTTCCCACAATTCCCAACTGATTTTTACTTGCTTTTTGTGCATGGCTGAGTAGAATCCGGGGGACATGACTGAAGGCAGAACCACCAGTGAGCCTCATTATAAGAGGGGTGTCCATCACCAATGCAGGATTGAAGAGGTCCTGAAGCCTCAAGGTTTGGTGATTTGTTCAGAGGATGTTTCAGCAAGATGCACTCCGACTCACTAACATGGAAGTGGAATCCCCTCCCCAAGTTGCAGAGAAAAGTAAGTTTCTAGAACCCCCATCCACGTCCGTGTTCCTGAGTCTGAGTGTAGTTTTTGGTTGCTGACTCGGGGAGCTTTGTGAAAGCAAGCCAGGGTATGCCAGGGTATAAATGACAAAGATGTGAAGAGCGCGCTTGAAAACATGATGGTGCCATGAGTGCCATGACCCATAACGGAGCAGTGCTGTCGCGGGTGGGAGAAGCTCGCGAGAAAAAGGATTGTTGGCAGAGATGGATTCTGATGTAGAGCCTTTGAAGAAGAAGATGAAACATAGTTTGGTCTCAACATGTCTGACCCATATTTTGACTCAAGCAGCAAGACCCTGCAATTCACAGTTATTGTTCGTCCGGTTCTACTTTTCACATTGGGATTTAGGGTGTCACATCTTCGTTTCCAGTCACTCTCGGGTGGGAAAGCTCCGAACGAAGCAAGCAGGTCCCACCCCAGGGGGCCCCAGGGGACCCTGCCCATAGGGTACCTCCGTTTCGGACGGTCGGTCGAGGTGAGTACAAAGGACATCCGAGAACGGATGGTCCTGGACCCTTAGGCTTGATGTCAGGTGAGAAACAGCATCAACGACCTTGATGCATGGGAATATGAGGGTGACATCATACTTGGAACTTTCTTTGAATAGACGCAGACTAATCAAAAACATCGTTTCTGTCCCAGCTCCCCAAAACCATGTGAACTGAACTGGTGTGCGCTTTCGAGGCAACCAACATCATTCAACCATTCGTTGCACCGACAGAATTAGTAAAATGTTCCGTGGTTGCCTTTGTGTTAAATTTTGATTTGCATTGAATGTTCTTGTCCATGAATTTCCAAAGGAATGGGTTTTAGTCCCATCCAGTGAGTGGATGTCCTGGGCACTCTTATTCTCTAAGTTCGGCACCCCGACATGGAATTGCTGGTCCGTGAATTTCCATTCCAAATTTGATGGTCAGCGTCCCTAGGGATCCAGTCGTACCGAACCTCAGAAGGTACGACTGGACCCTCCAAACCTACATAACAGTGTTTCCAATCACACCTTCTGAGAAGGTAGGACTGTTTTTTTTATACGGCTTGATCTTCAGGGCCACCAACGGTCTGATGGTACTTCCTTGGATCCCATGGTCGAATCGTGGCCAGCGCTATACTGGCACGAGACTGAGACTCAGACACTCCGAAGACCATGAACCAACATGTTTGGGTCAAAGTTTGACATGGAAGAAAAGCACAGACCTGGACTCCACCATTTCAGGACATGGTTTTCAAAAAGGACATGGAAGTCTTTCCTTCGTCACCTTTGTCACCCTGTTCGTTCACTCCGCGTGATCCAAAAAGAGGTGTGTTGATTATCGATGGCCTCCCGAGGCTCGGACGGACTGCTACGAAGTCACCGAGGAAGAATTTGAGAGGCCGGGATCGGGTGCGATCGGTGTGGTTGGTGTGAACTGCGATCGGTGCTGACACGTCAGCCATGATGTTTTTCCCCAGATAGCTGCAGGCTATAGGGGTTCCAACTTCTCAATGGTGCTGGTGCTGGTGCAGGCGTTTTGGTTTTGCGGGTGCTGCTGCTGGTGCTGGTGCAGGCGCTGGCTCTGGATAGGCATTTCGTTTTGCGGGTGCTGCAGCCGTGCTGGTGCTGGTGCTTTGGTTTTGCGGGTGCTGCTGCCGTGCTGGTGCTGGCTTTGGATCGGCGTTTTGTTTTGCGGGTGCTGCTGCCGTGCTGGTGCTGGTGCTCGGCGTTTTGTTTTGCCAGTGCTGGTGCTGGTGCAGGTGCTGGTTCTGGATGGGCATTTTGTTTTGCGGGTGCTGCTGCTGTGCTGGTGCTGGTGCAGGCGCTGGCTTTGGATCGGGGTTTCGCTTCGCGTCATGCCGGGGATGACATCAGGTCACGCCAGGGATATCATTTCATGACTTCATGTCCTGCCAGAAATGACATCATGTCATGCCCAGAAGGACATCATGTCATGCCAGGGATGACATCTTGTCATGCCCAGAATGACACCACGTTATGCCAGACATGACATCATGTCATGCCAGGGGCGACATCACGTCATGTCAGGGATGACATGATGGCATATCCCGTGACACCGTGTTGTGCAGCAATGATCATCTTGTTGTGCAGCTCTTAGTGTTTTACGTCTGTGTTGGGCAAAGCGGGCGCATTCAGCTGATAGATGTTTCGCAGATTAGTGGACTGGTCTAGCCGTCCGTGGCGTGTCCTCTAGGCCTATACACCCGCTATCTGGGGTCTGTGCCGGTGTATTTTCCCAGGTACTCAAATACTCTCAGAGACACTTTAGTCGCATCAGTGTGCGCAGCATGTTGTAATTACTTGCGTCGAAGGCTCTTCTGGAAGTCGCATCGGTTTTCATTATTCCATGCTGTTCGAGAGTTTGAGGACATGCAACAAGCACATATTCCAGCTATTCCATTGGTTTACGGTGACTGTCACATAGATAACCTTTTCTCCCCAGATAGCGAGAGCTATTGGGGTAGTTGTTGCAGAGTCTGTTGCAGTTCTTACGTGTGTGGTAGTGTGCGCTTTGAAGCCTGAGTGCTGGTACCGCTTCAGGGGCTGCTTTTGGAGGCTGGGTGCTGGTGCCGCAGCACCGTTGCTGCTGCCAGATGTTGATGGCCGTGTGCGGTTTTGGCGCCGCGCTGCTGCCGCTGCGAGATGTCTAAGTCTATGGCCGTATGTGCTTAGTTGCGCTTGGCGTGTCACGAGGCATAGTTCAAGCTGCTCCCTCCTGCCAGTGGTGCCTGGTGCCTGCTGTTTGTGTGCAAAGCGCGGCCGGAAGACATGCACGAAGCAGTGCGAACTCAGGGGATACATTTGTCTGGCACCCTGTATCATCGTGCAGAACGCTGAAGTGCTGGCCGGCGCAGCGCCTTGTGATCGAAATCGCCACTGTGCCGCTGCTGCCGGGACGGCAAAAAGGATTGATGCAGGGCGACGTCTTACCGAGGAAAGTGACCCAGAAGCTTCTGAAAGATGCGGGCGTTGAAGACTCTCTGGCATTTCCAAAAATCTGAGCAAAGTTTTGCGAAGTGCGGAAAATGCGGTCTTAGTAACGCGCGAAAAGTTTCATGTCATGGTTGGCAAATGCTGGCAGGACCGCACCGGTTTCGACAATAGCGTGGCGGCGTTGAGCTGGGTTCGTGGAAAAGGATGGCGCATTCAAATGCTGGACTCGGGGACCACGATGTTCAGAGCTCAAGGTGGACACGGTGGCGGAATTCCAGGTCAAGGACAGATCGAGATCATGTACACATGTGCAGTCATCCATGCATCGCATCAGTCCACTCAAACATCCATGCATCACTGCAATCA